CCTCCTCCGCCATTCTCCTCTCGGCCCCTTGGGCACACATGCACATGCTCCCGCCGTGAATTTAAGTCACCGGGTCCGAGACTTGGACAGTGGTCAACTACATGGGAGTTCAGCGACATAACCATTATGCTAACTGCTGGTCCCAGCTCAATGTACTTTTCAAGCTAATGGAATTCAAACCATGGTAGGCTATGTGGGACCAGGCTCCCTTAATCATTAGGCCAGGGTGTCAGAGTATCTTTAAGTTTTTGTGTTTTTTTAGTTTTTCTTTTTTTTTTCTTTTATTTTTTTATTAAATTTTTTTTCATTTCATTTTCTTCCATACATTCAATCACATTATTATTTGTCTTACAAACTGGATATTTCAACAGGTGAACATTTCTCCCTAGTACTGTTGATAAAACTATGAAATATCTTCAATAGATAATACCACACCTCTTTGTGCCATATCTTTAAGTTTTTAAATTTTATTATAGCTGGTAGAAACTCTCTACAGATTATCCCAATAGTTCAACATACTTTAAAATTTAACATATACTAAACATTTTGCTTTCTTTTGTCTTATAGCCAAAACCTCAGCTAGAATTAGAATACACAATGGTGTTCTAGGGTGCTTACAGGCCGCTGCACTGAAGAGATGATATCCACTCCTAGGGAAAGGGCCAGTGTACAGAGACGATTTATGTGTGCCTGCTTTTCTTGAGAGCGGCTGAGGTAAATCTGGATACCCTGAGCATCACCCAGTTCCTCTGGCTCCTCCGTAAACTCCATTTCTCTGGATTTGATGAGACGTCCCAGCTAGAATTTCAGGCATTGACAATTAATATGGATTTCTCCTGAAGATAGTTTTTTTTTTTTTTTAAGGCTATTTTCTATAACATATCTTACTAGGTGGTTGAAATGTCACCAAGCCCATTCATAATTATTACTGTTATATTCAAATACAGGTAACAATGTTGCAAAACCAATAGGGTGAAATGGAGCAGCTAACATTGTCAGCTCTATTCAAGATGGAAATTCTTTTCAGTCATAGCCTGAAATCTTAGTAAGAGATAGGCCTATGACCTGAATACATTCAGAGCTTACTTAAAAAGGATAGCAGTACATTTCCATTTTGTGGTAACAGAGGATAATAATTATACCATTTATATATAAAAAAAGCAACCCACAAATAAATGATTAATAGGCAGTTCATGATGTAGGTACTTGAGAGACAAAAAATATTGAAGCTGGTTCCTGACCTCAAAAGAGTTTACACTTTGAGGGAGGGGAAAAACAGCAACAACAACAACCAAACAAATCTATTTATCAAAAAGTAACAGTTACAATGCTAAAAATGCCAGATTGTGGAAAAAACAAGGAGAGCTCTGGATATTTAGAAGTGAGACAAATCACTCCGAGCAGAGATTGTTGGAAGGGGGTAGGGTTGAGACGACAGACCAGAGAAAGACCTGCTGGGTAACAACAGCCCGAGAGTCGAGGTGTGGGCATAGGGATGTCTGCGCCATCTCTGAGAGACAGAGGAGCTCAGCTCGGCTGGAACATAAGGCATGATGGGGCAAAGCGAGAGATAAATTAGGGGCCAGATTGTGTAAGCGTCTAATACCAGCATAAGCAACTGGCTTTTAAATAGCAGGCTCTTTCAAGCATCCATTGTAAGTTTTACCTCCTCCCTGACTTGGTAGAATTGGACTGTCTTGTATAGGATATCCTCATAATCTTGAATTCTCTCTTTCTGCTTTTGATGGAGAAAAAGAAGGTCTTTCAGTTGTTGAGACTTCTCTTTCACAGAGGCTCCTTTGCTGCTTAATTCTTCTGATTCTTTAATAATATACTGAACCTCATCATTCAGTTGCTAAAACATTGAAGGCAATGAAAGAAATCCAACTTTTAGAAATCTTACTTTAACTGACAATATGGAGATTTAAATCATGAATCATTCTCTCAGTTTTCAATAAATACTTACTATGAGCCTTCTCCATTCCCAAAATCTGGGCATTGCACATGATGTTGGGGAAATATTGTTCCATCCTCATCTCAGAAATTTTATATATATGTATATATAATATTTAATTATATATCATAAGTAAATATTTTTATGAATTATAAACAATAATATAATATATTACATTTATAATATATAATTAATACATGTTATAGTATAATACATTATATATATTGTAATATAATATATTTATATATGTAATACATTTATATATGAGAAATGAAAAAAGTGTTTTTCAGAGCCAGATGGCGAAATGCAAAGTCACATATTTCTGGGGCAAATATTCCAGTAATCTGTTAAGTAAATGTATTTTAGGTATTTTATGAAGCTGCATGATCATTTCTGGACTTTAATACAGCCCCTAATCATGTGGTATGGTAAAGACACCAAGAGAAGATGAGTGGAAAACCATATCAGGAAATTACTTGTGCTTTGTGATAAAAGAAGAATCAGAAAGAACCATCAGCTGAACTGTACCGCACAGTAGCTAATGCTGTGCAAAACAGTCCTCCCATAATCCACAAATAGCCGCCACATATAAGGAGGCACAAGCTGCATTTCCTCTGAGCCAGCACTGCTCAGGTACCCTTACAGGAATCCAAATTTTGCGACAGAACTTGCAAATGGTGGATACTACTGTAATTTCAGGAATGGCTGTTATACCAAAGGAAAAAATAATGAAGATAATTTAGGCTAAGGAGGTAATTTTTAGAAGAGTGTCTTAAGAGGGTCTTCAAGTTCAAATCAAGGATGTGGGCATCAACTCTAAGCACATCACAGTGACAGAACTAAATAAACTTGGCAATTTTTTTCGATTTGGAGGAACTTCCTACCCACATACGTGCACACAAATATAAGCAAGCATACAACACAGGGTAGAGCAAGAACCCAAGAGGGTGTGTCAGAGAACCTAGTACAGGCTAGCCACGTCCACGAGAATTGCACAGGAGTTTGCTGTGGGTCGCAATGGCGTGTGAGCGTGGACATGTGCTTGCAGTGATCAAGGTTACCTTCCACATCAGTTGTGTCTTAAAGGAAACTACTATTCCACAAGAATCTTTAATTTTATGATTCTGGCATTCTTCAAAGCTAACATATGAAGTAGTGACAGTTGGAAACATAAGTATCTTAATTTTACAGCAAAGAAAAAGAATTCAGGCTAGAGGACAATGTGACTAGAAACCATTTCTGGCAGCTGTATCCAGCTTAGGAGAGGCAAGAGATAGGGGAACACAGAATGTGTCAACAGCCTGTGGCCAAGAACATGACTCATGGTTTTTTCTCTCATATCCTGAGGACTTTCTGAGAGGGCGAACGGAGAATACAGCACAGTTCCTAGGATGGGGGTAGCAGCCTGGGGTGCCAATGGGAAGGGACAGTAACATCACAGTGGTGAATATCAGAGATGAGGACCATAGAACCTCTGGAGTAAAGGCTGCCCATCCTTGTTTCTGAGATGTCTCTCTATCTCTCTGTCTCTCTCTTTTTTTGTTTTAATGTGAGAGTACATGTGCTCACTATAGAGAAATTGAGAGGCAGAGAAAGGGAGAGGGGAAAGGAGAGAGAGAATGTACCCCCAATGGGGCATGTTCACGCTGCAATTCCTTCTCCTCCCTTCCCCCATCCTATCAGGATTTGGTGCATCAGAGATATGCACCTGGTATATTTTTCAAGCTGCCAAGTCCAGGTCTCAAGCTGAAGCCAGCTCTGTGGGACCTGGCACCCTTAATCATCAAGCCATGGGATGGGGCCCCAAATTGTCTCAAGTCAAAACGTATCTATACTTCTTGTGAAAATAATTACAGTGATTACATGGCAAATACAGTAATAATTTAATTAATAATGCAAATTAAAATGATCTGGGTAAAAATATTGGGTCTTCATGAAAGTCATGATGCATTTTTGCATAGAAAAATAAATCATGCCTTTTTCAATGACCTAATATATTTAAAACACTTTGTGCATTATCAAATACAAAAGAGTGCACAAAAACTATAAAAACAAAAAAGGCTTCATGGTGGACTTTTAGACTAATAGTGCTTTTGTATAAAACACAGAAATCCACGAGTCTGTTACAATTTATTAGGTAAGTGGCCAACAGGTGGCGTGATGGTTAAGACACTAGACTCACAAGGCTGGCGGATTAAAGTACTGGACCTAGCAGCTTGAGAATCAAGCCACGTGTGTACATGTGTGCCTAAAATCCCAGGAAGAGAATGGAGAAGGGATTGTGGCATGCCCATTCCCCCAAAAGAGGGTGATTTCTCACTTTTCCTCTCACTGTCTCTCTCTTGCATGTGCCCTATGACAAATAATAATAATTACGTAAACTGCAACCAGTTTTTAATTTTTTTTCATTCACCCAAATCCATTAATCCATTCTTTACCTGGAATTGAGGCTTCATTTCATTCCATTTTTTTTGTAGCTCTAAAATGGTCTGGAGGCTCCCTCCAAGGTCAAGTACAGACACAGGCATTAGTACCTCTTGAAGAAGTTTTGAGTTGTGAGTAGTCTGGAATAAACTTTGGATAGTTAGGCATATCTTTACTTTGACACTCACAGCAATATGTGATGAGTTTTCTAATAGATTGTCATCAAACTTTCAGTTCTCATGAAAACACAAACAACATCAAGAAAGCTTATGGTCGCAAGCCACCAAAGAATAAAAGTATAGGCCCTTGGTTTCTGTAACCTTATTTTTGTGTGTGGCAAAATATTGATAATTGGGTCCAACGGGTGGAGTAGTGGTTATGTTGCTAAACTCCCACATGGTCAACCTTGGTTAGAGTCACGGACCCGATGACTTGAAACACACTCCTGGCATGTTTGTATGTATGCCCAGGATCCCAGGAGGTGAATGGAGGAGACAGAGTTGCAGCATGGCCATCCCCATGAGGAGGGATTTCTTGCTTTCCTTCTCACTATCTTTCTCTCTGTCTGGTGAGTGAGCGCATGCTCCCTAACGCAAAAACCTCTACCCCCCCCACACACAAAAAAATGATAATGAAATTCACCATTCTTTTTTTTTTTTTTTAGGTTTTTGTGACAGAGAATGTACACTGTAGAGAGAGACAGAGAAGGAAAGTGAGAAATCACCTTCCAAAGGAGGATGGCCATGTGGCAATCCCTTCTCCTCCATTCTTCACTTGAGATTTTTGGGAACGCACAAGTGCCTGGGATATGTTTCAAGCCGTTGGGGCCAGGACTCAAATCACAAAGTCAGCCATATGGGATTCACGCCAGCTGCTGGCCCTGTTCTTACCATTTTTAAGTACACAGTCCAATGGCATTAACACATTCACTTTGTGAAGCAACTGTCACCAATGTCCATCTGCAGAATTTTTCATTATTCCAAACAGAAATTATACACCTGTTGACTCTATTCCATCTCCCCCTCCCTTCCTTCAACCCCTGGTATCCTCTATTCTGCTTTCTGTCTCTATGAGTTTGACTACGGTTGCCCCATGAAGTAGAATCACACAATATTTATCCTTTTGTGTCCGGCATATCTCACTAGCTTAAAGTTTTCAAGATTCATTCATGTTGCAGTATGTATCAGAATTTTGTTCCTTTTTCTGGCTGAATAGCATTCTGTGCCTGTCTCCTTACCTTTTTAAGTCTCTCTTTGAATGCTGCCCACTGTTGTCTCACGGGCTTGTTTCCAGTGGCTTTAAGTTGCCATGCCAGCCGAAGGCAACTAAGTTCTTCCCTTTCAGCCTTCTGGTTTTCCAGAGTGTTCTCCATAATGAGCATTTCATTTTTCACATTTAGTATCTCGTTCTCTTTTGCCTGTTAAAGTAATAATTCATATAATGGCATTCCTCTCCTAAGGTATATAATTTTTTTGCATACAACTATTTTAGGAAACAAACACTTTTCTCGCAGCCAAAGCAGAGCATAGCTCTGACACCCTGAATTCCTCGTGTAGAGGGACAGCTGGACTCTGAGAACCCATAGTCATTATCAGGTCCTGAGCTCCTTAAGATTCAAGTGGAATTTGAGTTTCCACCTATGGTCTAGTTATTTACTGGAATTTGAAGGCTGATTTAATGAGTACTGGGATATAGAAATTTTTAAGTAAGAAAATTTTAATACATAATTTTTGCATTTTATTTGAACACACTCATTTGAATATGTCAAAATCTCGTATTAGGGGACTGATTATTCTAGGCCTCATTTTTAAAAAATCCCATTGTATATATTATAATTGTTTTAAATTGCCCTTGCAGTTCCCCAAGTTCCTCCATTTTGTGTGAACTGAAATGTGTATCTCTATATTTGTAACTCTGCTGTGCTCCAAAAGTATTATATCTACATTCAAATACTCCACTTTCTAACTTTCTTATGTTCTGGCTAATGTCCTTTAACTACTGCTTTTTTTTTTGAAGATGGGGGAGATTTTTGCCTTAGAGTGTATGTGCTCACCTGAAAGAGACAGAGATGGTGAGAGGAAAAGGGAGAAATTACCCCCACCCCGGGATGATGGCCACTCCGCAATCCCCTCTTCATTCTCTTCCTGAGATCTTGGGCATGTATGCACATGTGTACGGTGTGATTGTTAAGCCACCAGGTCCAGGCTCCAAACCATGGTTGGCCATGTAGTGTCTTAAACGCCACACCACCTGCTGGCCTTCTGTATAAATATATTTTTTTAATGCAGAAAAATATTTGTTTGGCAAACAATTCGGTGTGTGTGTGTGTGTTTAATTTGCTAGAGAGCACATGTGCTTGCTCAAGGGAGAGAGAAGGAAAAAGTGAGAAACACTGCTGTCCTCTCACCCTCGGGGGATGGCCCCACCACAATCCCTTCTCCATTCTTCCTTTCAGGAATTTGGACACACACAAATACACTGTGTATTTTCAGGACTTGAATCATGTATTCAGTCATGTGGGATCTCTGTCTTAGTCACCATGCCATGAGCTGACTCGAAACAATTTTTTATGTTGATGGTTAGCCTCTTTATGTTAATGATTAGCCTTTTCCCATAAATTCCCATATTTCTAATAGGTTTCTACCATCATAGTCTTAGTTAGATATCTAAAAGTCAAGGGATGGTTTAGGTTGTAGCTAGAAAGAGAGTGCCATAAATGCCTAAAAGGGTATTTCAGATACAGGACACATTATATGTTCATTATTTTAAATGATGCTGATATTGTACAAATATTTTTAATATTATTTTAGACACTACAAAATTACTATTAATGATATATATGTGTGTATATATATATATATATATATAAACTTACAGATTCTAAATGAAAATTTTCCCCATGAATTTAGAGATCTAGTAACAAAGTGATATATTCTGTAATTATGAGTACAAAGATGCAATATATTATGAAAGATATTAGAAAATTACAGTAAGACCCACTCCAAATTATATTTGGTACCTGTGCTATAAATAAAGCTAAGGTATAATGCACATATTATTCATGTGTTGTTATCTTTCAGATAGTATAAACTATAAATGTTATAAATTTAGCATAAACTCAGAAATTGCAGCTATCGATGACTACTACTACCAGAAGGGTAAGGTGGTCTCGGCAAGGTCTACAAAAGGGAGGCTGAGAGAAGGATTTGCTGTCTAGCTAGCAGGAGTGAAGAAAGCGATATGCATTTGGCAGACTTAAGCATTTTGGCTTCTCCTAACATGAAATAATTTGCCTGAGGTCTTGTTAGTAAACACAGTCCTCATTTTACTTCTGCACAGGACGTGGAAAGTTTTGCCATCAGTCAGTTTAAATGGGCCATTAAATTAGCCATTTTCTATTTAGATGTGTGCACAAAGAATGGCCTTCTTCAGCCTTGCTTTCCAGGTACCTTAATAACAGGGAGGCAGTATCCCAGACAGCATGCTTGGTATTCATCCCTATAAATTGCTGGCTTTTCATTAAGATGTCTGTAAGAATTCTGGTCTGAATCAATTTCTCTGATCTTGATTATTTTTAGATGAACTGAAAAGTCTTCACTTTTAATCTTGAATATATGAGCCACAGCACCCCAGTCAAGACCAGAACATTCAGCTGAATATGCCAACTGGGAATCTTCCTTCTTACCAACCAACTGGCTACCGCATTTCAACAATAATGTTTGCTTTAAAACCTAAAGGTCCCCAAAATATAAAGAGAATCAAAACTATGTTTTGTTGACAGTGTTTTGCCACAGTGGTAACACAACCCTCTGTAAGGGTGATCCACACTGGAAGGTTCTGAACTCATGCCCAGACTTCTCCTTCACCACGTGGAACATGCACAGGCTCTTGGCCCAGGACTGGTGATGCTGGGGATGGATCATGGTGTGAAGATCCTAATGAGGGTGCCTCTCTCTCTTTCTCACTCAGGGAAGAAAAAAAATGAAATCAAACTTTACAAAATATGTTTTACTTACTTTGCTGACAATTTCGTATCTCAGAATGTCACTCAATCAATAAAACTAACTTTTATGTGGACTTCAATTTTTATCCATGAGGAGGAACTTTTATCACACGGCAGGGGTAAAAATCCTTGGTTTAAAATAATCATGTGTATGATATCAAGATAAAAGACTATCCAGGCATAGTAGTAAAATGCACACTATTCTGAAAACTCTAAATGATCATTTGGGTATTATGATAATACATGGGAGTCTAGAAATAGATACAGAGTATGATTTGATATGAGTTTCTGTTGCATACTTTAAAACATAAAAATCTGGGAACCAGCAGTTAGCGTAATGGCCACGTCGCTGGACTCCCACGTAGTTGACTGCAGTTTGCATCCCGGACCCGGTGGCTTAAAACTCACACCGGGCACATGTGCGTGTGTGCCCAAGAACCCAAGAGGAGAATGGAGATGGGATTGCGGCATGGCCATCCCCCTTGGGGGTGATTTCTTGCTTTCTGTCTCTGTCTCTCTCTGTCTGTCTGGCAAGCGCACGCGCCCTATAGGGAAAACCTCTCCAAAACACACACACACACACACACATAAAAATGTGACTGTACTATCTTAAATATTCAAAGTAAGTAATGAAAAACTACAGGATAGGATAGAGTAGCCCACGGCAGAGTAGTGCTGCTGTTTAGAACAACCAGAAAAGCTGGAGAAAAAGAAGAAAGCATGTATTAGAAGGCGGCAGAGGGCTGCTGTGACGAGATCCAGACAGGCTAAAGTTCCAGAGAGGTAAGATCCTGGCAGTGATGAGCTCGCCCATCACCACTTTTACACCAGGAGCAATTCCCAATTCTGTGCTCTGACAGGCCATTGGGAACTAACAATCGAGGCTTTCCAAAAACAGGGACACATAGAGCTTTGGGCAGACAATTTGGAGGGCTTCAAGCACACAGGTGATCTTCTAAGGACACTGACTAAAAAATTGAGTTTGTACAGAACAATCAATTTTTTAAAGAGGTTTTTGCTTTAGGGCACATGTACTCGCTGGAGAGAGAGAGAGACAGAGACAGTGAGAGGGAAAGTGAGAACTCACTCCCATTAGATAATTACAGGTCTCATCAATAAAAAATAATGCCCATCTTATTGTACGCTGTGGTGCACTCATATTTCACTTTTGGTTACATTGCATGAGTGATTTTGATAACCCTCACAGCATCCTGGGAATGGGTGGTTGGATGGAGAGAGACCATGTAATAGCTACCACATAAATGGTAAAAAGGATATGTACACGTTTCACTGCAGAAAAGCAACTGTTTTAAAGTGGGGAAAACTTTCACTAGCTAGAGAAACTAAACATGAGTCCTTTTTCTGTCCTGATATAACAAAAGAGGGTTAGAACCACATACAAAGACAGATTTATTTAAAATTTTGAATTATTTTCTACAGTTCAGCCATGGCAGCATTCTATTAATGTGTCCCATACGTAGGAACCACATGAGAAGCCTGGGATTGATCCCTGATCCAAACTAAAGGTGGGTGCAGTGTGTCTGTAATCCCAGCAAGCCTGGAGGTTGAGGCATGACCGTGAATTTGAAGTTGGCCTTGAACATAGCAAAACGCTGTCTTAATAAAAACACTGGGTGTGATGTATGACTGTGGTCTCAGCTCATCTTCAAAACAAATTTTGGAGGGCCAGTAGCTGGTGTAGTGGTTAAGGTGCTGGATTCCTACATGGCCAGCCATGGTTTAAGTCCCGGACTCAGCAGTTTCAACTCATGATACACATGTTTGTGTACGTGCCCAAAAATCCCAGGAGGAGAATAGAGAAGAAGGGATTGTGATGAGACCATCCCCTTGAGGGGTGATTTCTTCCTTCCCTTCTCACTGTCTCTCTCTGTCTCTCTGATGAGTGCATGGGCCCTACGGCCCAAAAACCTTACAACATTTTTTTTCTAGCCACCATTATTTTCCAACAATTAAATGAGAAGTTACATTATTAAGATGCTTGAGATATTGAAGGAGAGGTTGTATTAACCATCTTTTAAGAATTCTATAGAGAACTTTATATGGGCCAGAGGTGTATGCAAGGATCTTAGAAAATTTTACAAATGTAGACCAGTAGGTGCTAGATTCTCACATCATTGACCACAGTTTGCATCCTGAACTTGGTGGCTTGAAAATCACGATAAATAAGCAGATAAAGAAAAAACAATAATAATAAAAAGAATATTTTGCATATGTAACTCAAGATAACTAAAATTTAGGGTTCATTTTTAAATGCAATTTGAGTTTCATTATGAAAAGTTCTGCTATAATAATAAATTCTTTGAAATCACGATTCATCCCAGAAGTTGTCTTTAGCCATTGGAAGTTTTTTAAGAACTTCACCATATGCTCTCAACATCTATCAGAACTTTTGGGTGGATTTCTGAAGCATCTATGTAATAAGAACAATGTTGCCTTTGGATCATAGTCAGTCTTTCTTCTTCATAATTATGTTATAAACTAAGAAGGGCTCTAGGACCAGGTAAGCATAGGAACATTGGGCTTCAGGAATGACTTGACTGAGTGAAGCTAAAAAGACTACCTGAGCCAGCATTGTGGATTATAGACAGCTGAGCTCTTGAATTTATGATTTTTGACTTTAATAAGTAATCCCTGCAGATGGAGGAACTCACTTAATGTCATTCTCACCATATTTATTAAATTAAGGTGCTCAATCCCTAGGTCTTGGGTTAAAAAACTCTTCTTTAAAAATAGCTGCCACCGCTTCTCATCTGAGTCAGGCCAATCTTTGACTTTAGCATCCTCCTCTTTCTTCTGAGAGATTTCAGTTTGATAAAATTCCTTTAGGCTCTGACACTGTTCCTTTACCTACAAAAAGAGAATGTAAAAAGAGAATGTAAATACATATACATACATACATATATATATATATATATATAATATATATATATATATATATATAAAATTTAAATAATTACCTTATTTAACTTTATTTCTTTATTTTCATTTGACCAAAGAGAGAAAGACTGAGAAAGAGAGAAGGAAAGTGAGAAAGCAAGCCACCAGGTCTGAGACTTGAACCATGGTTGACCATGTGGGAATCCAGCACCCACCACACCACCTGCTGGCCCCTCAAATAGTTTTTAAGAAAAAAAGAACACTAGGGGCCAGACACTGAGCGATGGTTAAGGTTACTGGATCCCACATGGCAGACCATGCTGTTTGAGTCCCAGACCTGCAAGCTTGAAAAATATGCCATGTGCATGTGTATGCATGTCCCAAATCCAAAAAGGAGGGAGGGATGAAGGAGAGGGGATTGTAGTGTGTGACCCTTTCCCACGGAGGCGGGGCGTTTTCTCACTTTCTCTTTCTCTCTCTGTGTTTCTGGCAAGCACACATGCCTTCTAATAAACTAAAAAAATAAATTAAAAAAAAAGAAAGAGAAACACTAGATTATATAAAAGCTATATTATAATACATAAAAATTAACTTGAAACTATTAATATATCTTCAGAACTCTTCAACTAATTATTGAATATTGTCAATTTACTGAAAAGACAAGAAAATCTACTTAGATTGTTGACAAACAGGACTACCACTGGATCTTAAATTGAGCTGACAGCTTTATTACCCATAAGAACTACTTATTGTAGCCAAAATCATATTTGTGTCTTGCAATCTGAGGTAATTTATGTCAAAGACTAGTATGATTCTATTTAAAGCTTGGTTTTATAGTTATATATGTGTGTGTGTGTGTGTGTGTGTGTATAGAGAGAGAGAGAGAGAAGAGAGAGAACACAAATAAGAAAGAAATCTAAGCCAGCGAAAGATTATTAATAACTAGCAAGTCCCAATTTAGTTTCAATCAGCGATAAACTAGAGTAAAAGTACAAATAATTACTAACATTATGCATAAGGATTAATATTAAACTGCTTCCATGAGTTAATCTTATTAGGACACATTTTGCCTCCCTAGAATTATATTTTCTCATTTGTGAACCAATGTAAGCAGTACTGGATTACTTTAACTCACTCTTCTTGAGCGGAGTTTACAGAAAATCAAATGTGTCTGTAGAACTATAGATTAAGGTGTAATTAGGTCAAGTAGGAAGAATAGATTATTTAACACATGTTTTCATGCATTTTGAATAACACTTAATGGCCGATAGCACACGACTCAAAGTTCGTAGCTACCGAAGGCAATCTAAACTGGGTAAGAAATTCCAGGCAAGTGTTAGAAACTGTATTTTAAGGATGCTAACATCCTTCTTAATTAAATGAACTTAATGGGAAAGCCTGCAAATGGCTCTTAGAAAGAGTTGTCCCCTCATTTCCATATTCCATTTAGACATGCCTCAAAGTTTTGCTGATACGTGTTCCTTCAGCTTAGCTCAGATTGGTCTTCCCTCAGTTTTCTTCTATGAATTCTTCATGAACTAGTTAAAATGCTACCTTCTCCATGTAGCCTTCAAGAATCCCTAGTAAGAATTAATCATTTATTTCCCTGAATACCCAAAGATAGTTCTGGGAGAAAAAGAACTACCCACTCCTGCGTATCCATTTCTATTCCCTCTTACCCTTGACAGTTCCTCAAGACATAGTCAAATGTCACTTCCTTTGGGAAGCTCTTTGATATTTACTCTACGTAGAGCTTTGGTCTCTCCTTGGTGTGCTCGTAACATTGTGTGCACACTTGTCCCTGTGTTATAATAATTTGCTTATGACTCAGAGTCAGTACACAATCTTCTGTGCTTCTGTGGGGTCATGTACTTTAGGCTGGGTGTCAATGTGATGGGCAATTGTGTGCAGTTCTCCGAATGCGAACTTTAATTCATTTTCCTTTCCTGTGACTCAAAAAGTCTCTTTGAAGGCAAACAAGAATTAGGTCATTATAAGAATTCCCTTGAATCTGCACTAGTTTTTTGTTTTCTTTTAAATTTCCTCCATGGGAAAGAGAGAGAAAGCAAGTGAGACGAAGAGAGAGACAAGCATGCCAAGATCTACCCCCAGGCTCAGCCTGCCAGGATCATGGCCGTGCCTGTGCCCAGTACCTACAGGGAGACCTCAGTAAGTGATCCTGGGACCTTCCCGTGTGGCCTCAAGTGCTGTGGAGCACTGTGTTGCCACTGCACCACCATGGCTAGCCTGCAACTAGTCTATTTTTCAGGTAAATTAATTATTTTTCCCCCTATGGAAAGGAAGAAAAAGTGAAGGAAGAATTACAAAAGGTAAAGTGAACAGGAAGAAGACAATGTTATAAAGTTAGGTAGAAGATGATGAGGGTCTCTAATGAGGGGGTAGTGGTGCAAATGGAGAAGAGCAGTTCAATAATCTTTCAGGCTGGCTCAAAAGAGAGACTCAGGACAAATTGGACTTTGAAATAGGAAAAACAAAAGAAAGAGGACTGGGATTTAAACTTTACAGTCCACTAGCTGCTTGATCTTGCATGTCTCTATACCTTCTCAGAGCCTTAGTTTCTTTCATTTGTAAGATATGGGGATAAGAGTGACTGAAGTACGAAGGTGTTTATAAGGATTAAATGAAATCAGGAGTGGAAAGCAGGTGGTATGGTGGTTAAGGCACTGGAAGAAATCAGGAGTGGCCAGCAGGTGGTATGGTGGTTAAGGCACTGGATTCCCACATTGCCAACTGTGGTTTGAGTTTCAGACCTGGTGGCTTGAAAGTCATGCCAGGATTCTAGCTGTTCCCTCTCGCTATCTCTCTCAGTGAGTGCACACACCCTTTAACAAATCTTAATAAGTAAAAAAATAAAGGATACTCATTAGCTTAAAAATAAACAAATAAATAAAATCAGGAATGAAACGTATAGTGCCCGGTACAAAATGAATGCTTACTGAGAAAGCTATTGGAAAAGATATTTACGTGTCTACATAAGACTATTGAAAGAATGATCGAGTAGTTAACCCAATGCCAAGATACAGGGGGGGAAGCATGTTTGAAGAAAAGGTAGCAGTTGTGTTTTGTTAAGTTTGAGGAGCTTACAGGATACATATATATATTTCCCTAAATATATATATATCGGGAAAAGTCATTTTGTATGTTATAATGATGCACAGTGATTAAATGTAAAAAATATAATAATAATAATGAAATACAAGTACATAAATAATAATTTTAAAAGGATACATATATACACAGATATATTATTTATATAATATATGCATAATGTGTGTGTATGTGTGTGTGTGTGTGTTTATGTCTATGTTTGTGTGTGTGTGTCATTGGAAGTCCAGGTCTGGAGCTCAGGAGAGTTGAGGATGAGGAACACTTTTGAGTTATTACTCTATTGAAACCATAGGTAGGAACGTAAGTATTGTGAAAAATGTGATACAGTGTTCTAAAAGAGAGAGCACAGGCAAGAACTTTGTGACTCTCCATACTTTGGAAATAAACAGAAAAAAAAAGAAAAAAGAAAGAAGTTAGGAAAAAGGAGAGGAACAGATAAAGAAGTAGACAGAATGATTCCATTTATATCCAAAAAAAGGACTGTATACAGACAGAAAGCATGTGAGTGCTTGCTTGAGGCTAAGGATAGGAACCAAGATTGACTAAAAACGTGCACCAAACCCTTCTTAATATGATGGACACATACTTAAACTGAGATGCTCTGATGCTTACATGCTCTATAAATATACCAAAAGGCACCGAATAATAAAATAGGTGAATTTTGTACTATGTAAATTACACCACAATAATTTTTTTTAAAGAAGTCTGGGACCAGCAGGTGGCATAGTGGTTAAGGGCACTGGACTCCCATGTGACCAAGGTTCAAGTACTGTACCTGGAAGCTTGGTTTCTTACTCTCTCTCTCTCTCTCTTAATTACTCTGTCCCTCCATGGTCAAATTAAAATAAATAAAGTTAAATAATCCTTTTTGCAGAACTTTAAAAAATGTCAAAGAAGGTGAAAGTGGGTAACCAGGTTAAATAATGCTACAGAGATATTAAGCAGGATGAAGACTGAAACACCATTTTATTTGTCAAACAGTAGGTAGTTTACATGAATATTTTCAATGGAGTAAAGAGATGACAAATGATAAGAGTTAAAAAAAGAGTACACAGAATTGGGGTGTGATGAGGACTAAGAACGGTGAGCAAACAGAAGGAAGCAATGTTATCGTCTCACTCTGAGTCCTCATGTGTAAAGAAGGAAAATGACAGAATGGTAGCCTTGCTTAGAACAAGAATATATGGGGGACCAACAGTTAGCATAATGGCTATGTTGCTGGACTCCCACACAGTCGATCACGGTTCGCGTTCTGGACCCTGTGGCTTAAACTGATGCCGGGTGCGTGTGCATGCGTGCCCAAGATCCCAAGAGGAGAATGGAAGAGAAGGGATTGCAGCGTGACCACCCCCACTGGGGGGGGGGTGATTTCTCGCTTTCTGTCTCTCTGTCTCTCTCTGTCTGTCTGGCGAGCGCACGCGCCCTATAGCAAAAACAAAACAAAACAAAACAAAACAAAACAAACAAACAAAAAACTTCTCAAAAAAAAAAATAGAACAAGACTATTTGGACCTAAGTGTATACCAAAAGGAAAGAAGAAAAGAAAAAAGGCAAATTTTTAAAAGTAAAGGATGGTTTCTGAAGGTAGATTCTAAAAGATCTAGAAGTTTAAGAAAGGGGCTGAATATTGATTTGTGGTGGACCCGAGTATGGTCACTTTATTAGAGCCAGTGGAGTTTGAGTGAATCTGTCAATGTTCTCACTGTTTTTCAGTGACATACAAGGTAAAGACGTTGGTTGAGATTTAAGGATGGAAACTAGGGTAAGATGCTTGGGAACTGCTACAGAATGGAGTTAGCTAAGGAGCATGGGGACTCAGAAGAGTGCCAGTCTACACAATTGTATAATTTTCTGCAGGAGCACCTGGAAGCTTGGAAAGGGAAGCTGAGTAAACAGAGTGCTGGACTGATCTACTATTGGGAGTTGGCAGCGTTAGTTAGGGTAGAGGGCAGGGAGTGGAGGGGATGGAGACTGGAATGGAAATGAGTAACCATGAGCTGCTGAGGAAAAAAGTCAGAGGGGGCAACATGTAACAGATGAGGAGCATTTCCAAGATTAGAGGAATAGAAGGCACTGCCAGAGAGGAAAAAAACAGATTAGGGAAAGTAGGAAGGCTGCATGGATACACAGTGCTTCTGAGGTGTTTGCAAAGCTAAGACTCTAGCCTTAGAGAGGCAACTTGCCCTCAAGGCCAGAGTAGGCCATGGAAGTGGATGCTTAACTGGAAGCCAAGAAGACATATTTTTGGCAATGTAGATGTAGAAGGCAAGCACCTGTTTAGAGCTCCTCTGCCATTTCAAACCTGAATAAAAATACTTCCCAATCCTCATCAGTTGTAAGACCTCTGCCAAACCATGAGATTTCAGGGCCAAGAACAAAGAAGAGTAAAAATGACAAGCAGTTAATATGTAGAAAAGGAAGCAGTGGTTACCTGAGATTTCCAGGGACTAGACTCCAGAGCGGTAAGAACTTTGAATATCATAAACCAGATCAGAGGATGTGTGTTGACAGGATAGTGTTGTGGCGGGGCAGGGAGTGAGGGCATTAGAAGGACAGAGGTGAGAAAATGGAAATTGAACACACTATTTAACTTGGGTTGCCTTTAGTCTTGCTGGAACTTGCTGGCTCTTCCTCCCACTAAGCCAGCATGAATCTCCTTGAATAGGAGAGTGATCTGCATTCACATGTAGTACACTGGGACAAGGGATGAATGAGAGGGGAACTCAACACTTTTCCATTACTAAAGAGGCCATCTTCAAGAAACTGGGGCCAGCTATGGATACAGGGTAGTGCAGTGTGGAGGCCATATGGAAGATTGGGGTTTGGATCCCAGGTTGACTTATACACTTTGATCCACATGATATGATCCTGGCTGATTGAAAGGCTTTGTGGTGATGGAGTGGAAGGTGGTGGTGGTTGAGGGGGAAGTATGCAGCATGAGACACTATTCAGGGGGCTTGTCTCTCTCAAAGAAAGAAAAGGAAAAAAGGAAAGGAAAGGAAAGGAAAGGAAAGGAAAGGAAAGGAAAGGAAAGGAAAGGAAAAGAAAGGAAAGGAAAGAAAGGGAAGGAGTCAGGGAGGGAGGAAAAGAAAGAAACTGGGTCTTTGAGTAATGGAATCCTGTTGTCACAGAGGGAATACCAGAGATTATCTAGTATAACCCTGTCAAAATAAGGCCTCACAAGCTCTAAGAGGTAATTTGCTAAAAGTCACATAATTCAACCCAGTAGCCTGCAATTTCCGTTTGTGTATATTTTAAAGGAACCACATGAATTGCTTAGGTATTCAAAAAGATCCATGACTTAGAAAATGACTGGCTTTGCTCTATGCTTAGTTGAGGATATTATAAATATGAGTGTTCCAAAACAACAACCTTGATGATTTGTGCACAGATCTACACATTCACATTTGTATTTAAAAAAACAAACAAACAAACAAAAAACTTACTTATTCAACCTTCATATGGTGCCTTGAACAAAAAAGGACCTGTAATTGAGTACATGCACTGGGGTAGAGCACATGAAACTATCCAGGACAGAGCTTATCTCCCCATAGAAAGCAGAAAATGAGCAGAGGCCACCTTTCTGAAGAAGGTCAGGACACAGTATTGTACCTCCTCTGATGACTTCAGAAATGCCACGTAACTTTGCAGGATCCGTGACCTGGAGTCGATGCTTTGATCAAGTATGTTTAATTCTATTTGTAGCCATTTAGCTTTAGAAGAAAGCAATGCAACTTCATCAGGTTCAGATTCATTTTCCTCTGTCATGATTTTCGTAGCTGTTTCTAATTCATGGGATATCTCCTATGAAAACAAAGCACAGGAGGTCAGAAGCTGACAGGGGAATCATGAACACTCACACTTCATTACCTTCTGCACATCCACCTATAATGATTGCTAATTGAACTGATACCAAGAATCTCCTCAATAAAAGAAAGGCATAACTTCCAAACTTTTAAAAAAAGGCACTTTTAAATGAAAATCATCTTGAATTATTCTTTGGCTATATCAACTGTACTTCTCATTTATAGTATTTTATTTTCTGTGTCACCAATAGAAAAAGTATCGCTTGGCATAAAAACTTGTAAAACAACACTGTAGAAGTCTTTTAAATAATTTAAACAAAGTAATTATACATGAGAATTGCTTTATGAAATTAACAATAGCTCTTGCAAATATTTAAACTAATTTTGTGCATAAGAGATGGTAAATTTACTAAACTTGTTCATTTGTTTTTAATTTACAAAAAAATGACATCAATTATGCAGTCATTTAAATACCTACCTAGAGGGCTGTTAAGCGTCTGTAGAGGAAATGTTACATATCAGGGCTAAACAACCGAAAGCGTCAGTGAATTTGACTTGCCTAAGAATGTACTCTTATGTTGTCCATTGAGTGCAGTGAGCTCTAGCCACTGGTTAAAAGGACAAGTCTTGTAAGGCATTACATATGTAATTGCCATAGAAAGAGCCATGCACATTTCATGTGAGACTAAACTAGGAATAAAGCATAAACAAAGCAAAAAAGCTTCATTTCCATTTGCAGCAAGGAGGAATTACTTCCCTCCTTGTGTTTAATATGTCTCCCAAGTAGTCCACTGCATGAGGTAACTTTAATTCACAAACCCTCCTTCATGATCTTACTTTGGGAAAGACAGGAGTGGGAAATTTCTCTCCAGAAAATCTTCTCCTCATTCTAAGATTTTTTTTTTAAATTAGGAAATTAAATCGAATTCAGAAATATGTTTTATTTTAAGCCCTTTTTAAATTATAATTTTATATTAACATATATTAGTTGCACCTATTTCTGGTGTGGTCTGGTTTTTGTTCCCATTTTTTATTTTTTAAAGAATTATTTATTTAATTTTATTATTCATTCAATCGTTTTCATTTGACCAGAGAAAGACAGACACACAGAGAGAAGAATGGTGAGAAAGCAATCCACAAGGTCTGGTACTCCAACCATGGTTGGCCATGTGGGAGCACCCAATGCCTTAACCAGCATGTCACCTGCTGGCACAGGTCTGGTTTTTAGATACATGTATACATGCAATGTGTAATGATCAAATCAGGGAACTAAATATATCCACTGTCTCACATATTTATCTTTACTTTGTGAACATTCAAAATCTTCTCTTCTAGCTATATTGAAGTATACATTAAATTGTCACCACCTATAGTTATTCTACTGTGCTATGGTGCTCTAGAACACATTTCACGTATATATTTGTTCTTTTGTTAACCAAGTTCTCCCTATACCCCTCAACCTTCTCCCCTTTCTTTTAGTATCCACCACTTGACTCTCCACCTATTTGTTGTAAAATAAAATTATTGAGAACATGTGATAATTGTATTTCAGTGCTTGGTCTATTTCCCAAAGCATTATTTTCTTGAGAGAGAACCATGTTGTCTCAAATGATAGTTTTGCATACTTTTTATAGCTGAATAATATTCTATTGTGTATATACATTTTTAAAAATCCATTCATCAGTTTTGGGGAATTTAGAGTAATTCCATGTCTTACCTACTGTGAATATTGCTGCAATAAACATGGGAATGCAAACTGATTCAACAAACTGATTTTTCCATGGGATATATACCCAGTAACAGGATTACCAGATCAGAAGATAGTGCTTATTTGTAGTTCCACAAGTGACCTCCATACTCTTTTCCACAATGACTGTACTAATTTACATTCCCACCAGCAGTGCACCAGAGTTTCTTTCTTTAAAATCTCATCAACATTGTTATTCTTTGGGATTTTTAAATTTATTTATTTTTACAATGGCCATTCTAATTACAATGAGTTGATCTCTCATTGTGATTTGGATTTGTCATTTCCCGGATGATTAGTGATGCTGTGCATTTTTCCATGTACTTACTTGTTGCACTTTAATGAATTAAAAAAATGCTTTTACTGGTGCTTCAGTAAATGTTTGTAGGCACATTGTCTGCTAAGAAAGCTCTTCTACTGAGAAGTAGAGTGACAGACTATCTTAGTCTATGAGTATATTGTTAACTGAACTATGTGAGACAGTGATTTATAAAAAATAGAGGCTTATTTGACTTACAGTTCTGATGACTAGAAAGTCCAAGTGCATGGAGCCAGCATCTGTGGTCTATATCACAACATGGTCAACAGAAGCAGAAATATCAACAGGCGTGTGCAGAAAAAGAGACTTCTTTTTCTGGAAGGCAGGAAGAGGCATCTTCCTACCTTCTCACAACCTACTGTCATGAGAACTAACCCCTTCTTCCAAGAGCTAGAACTCACCCCATACTGCAGGATGGCATTAATCCATTTCTGAGGGTGATGCCTCCATGAGATAAACACTGCTTACTATGCCTAGTAGACCTCATCTCTTAAGGTACCTGTCCTCCAATGCATTCACTTTTGGAGGAACAAAGCATTATTGAAACTATAAGACAGAGCTTTTCTTGCTAACCTGAGTAAGCCAGGTAAAGGCACTTGACTCTTTCCTAAACCCTGCTGGAGCAGACAGAGACTTCAGTACAAGTTCGAAGTGGCTAGCAGGAATCTTTGAACCCTGGTCCCTAGGAGGGAACTGAAAAAAGGTGCAGGGTGGTGGGGTGGAGCACTTTCTTTCTCTGAATGTTGGGTGTGCAAACATGGTTGTGGTTTTATTTGCCTTTCAGAATTTTGCAATAATGTATGTTGTTTTGGTCATTTCTTTTGTAACTTGCTCTACCAGAAAATCACATAGTCATTGAGTACCATTCACCCTGCCATCTCTGATAACCCAAAAAATTGTCTGCTTTGATGCAGACAATCATGATATACACCTCTCAGTCAAGGAAAAGGAACTAAATGTGTATCTTTTTTTCACTAAAAAATAATTTTATTTGCATCACTGAAAAGTGAAGGAATAAAGGTGTGCAGCTCTAATCATAAATTACATACCCCAGTGGATTTAAGTTTAAGCTAATCTGTGCCAATATGGATATATTTTGCTTTTCATAATTTATAGCAATATATATTTTTTGAGAGGTTTTTTTTTTTTTTTTGAGAGGCTATAGCGTGTGTGATTGCCAGAAAGACAGAGAGAGACAGAGAGACAGAAAGCAAGAAATTATCCCCCAGGGGGGATAGCCACCCGCAATCCCTTCTCCATTCTTCTCTTGGGATCTTGGGCATGCATGCACATGCGCCCAGACTGAGTTTAAGCCACCAGGTCCGGACACGAACCAAGGTCAGCTACATGGAGGTTCAGTGACATAACCATTACGCTAACTCCTGGTCCCCAAGCAGTATATTTTCTTTCAAAGCCATCATGTGCATATTTCAGGCACATTATAGAAATTAGATGACTTAAAGAATATAAAGAAAAAAATAACACAGATGCACATATTCAGGAAATGATTATGATATGATTTAAAAATCCATACAGCGTCCTTTTCGTTCCCAATTTCATATCATGTAGTTTCTGGGCCCCTGGGTCCACCTTTTTCTTTGGTGACTGGATTAACGTCATCTGGAAATTTTTCTAGTGGTTCTTTCTCTAAATTGGAATCTTCCAGTGTATCAAAACGACCTGGTAACTTTGGTTTCTTAAGGGATTGTTTTTGACAGGCTCAGGGTTTCTTTCTTGAGAAGAACTTGTTTTCCTCAAAGAATGACACAGGAGGTGGGATCTTGCTGCTCTCCTAGCCCTGGCTGGGATGCAGCCAAACAGCCAACGAGCCCAGACCCAATCATGATGCTGACTGCTGCAGCATCTGCAGAGTTGGCGCGTAGCCCAAATGAGTATTTAATACTGTGCTATGATGTTGAGTCTCCGTGAGTGCAAATGCCCTAATAAATGCACATATAAATCAAAATAATTAAAAAATATATATGTTTTTAAATAATTATTTGCTACATATCAATTTATAGTCCTCAGGGAGCAAAGTTTAAGCTTTATAGTTTTAGAATAAAAACATTACAAAATCATAGCTATAATAATAATTATAATTGTAATTACCTTAGCTTGGATACCTAGTTCCAGATATTTAGCCAAAATCTTCTCTGAGTCAGAAAGGCTAGAATTGACATCCACTGCATTGGAAAGTACCGCACTGATTTTCTGAATTGACGTTTCCACCTTTTGGAATTAAGGCATATATTGCAGTCTTAGTAGTATGTATTTGCCTACATGTATGCACATATGTAAGGAAGATAAATATTACTCTATATATTCCCATTATACTTAAAATATAGAATGTAAATGATCATCTAAGAATAATTTTAGATATTTCAGAGTTTTATATTTAAATTAATAACGCTGCTCTTTGTATGAGATAATATAGTGACCCATCAGTGGAGGGCATATGTTTAAAATATATTTTTTTTAATTAATAGCAATGAGATATGAGCAGTCGTTCACATCCTCTAAGAAGTTATCATTTGTTACATACAAAGGATAATGCACTTGCTAATACAATGGCAGAGTTGAATTTATCTGTAAGTTGAATGGGACCCAATTTATAGGCACATTTTGAAGTCCAAGTACAGAGCATAGGTATTAGATCAACCTTTAGACTGTTATATGTAGGTTTGGAGGGGTTTGGAGGAATGACAAACATTGTACATGTGATAGTAAAACACAGGGACATATTTAAGTTATTTAATTGGTGAGCTTGGGCCTAAGAGTTGCTCTTCAGTACACATGAATCACTAAATAAAGACCCTTAAACAATTCTGGTCTCTTCAAGATACTTCCCTCAACCTCATGCTCTAATTACAATCTGTACTCCTCAGGGTCAAATTTGCCTTGCATTTACAATAAGACAAATAGTAGTAACAGCTGAGTTCTTACTGTGCATTCTACCGCCATCAAATTAGCTTGAGTCTCAAGCTCTAGGGAATGTAGCACCTAGTTGCCACCATATTTGGACTCTCCCTGGACCCAGGCATCAGAACAAGGTTCAGATCCCCAAGATTCTGGATTAATAACAAGTGGGGAAGTAATTTAAATAGAGACATTGTTATTTAATGTCATCTCTGCCAAAGTCAACTAATTCTACTCTATGTAAATTCAGGTATGTAAATCCATTGTATTGAATAGAAGCATCACTGTAAATCTGAGACCCAGCTTGAAGAGCAAGGTTCATTAGTATTAATGTCATTGACCCAGCTTGTAGAGCAAGGTTCATTAGTATTAAAGTCATAGTACTAGTTTTTGCTATATGTCTCACCTATGAGTAGATTACACTTAGTTGAACTGTAGCGCCCTCATTTTATTTCTCCTTTGGAAACAGGAACTAAAACTCCCCATATCAAGTCATTGTACTGATTCTGTAGAGAAGATTTTCACAAATATTCTTGGATGCAGGCAATCAATCATGTCCCTTACCCTGGTCCAGTTCAATAAAGTATAATAATAGCAATTAATTCCTGGAAAAGCCTAAAACTCACAGTTTTTGGTGTCTCTCTCTCTTTATCTACTTCCAGTCTTCTTACTGAATGGTATCATGTTAACCAAAACCTGTGCCTGTTAGAACCATACTGAGAACCAAATGAAGTACCTTTCCACTGTATAAAAGTTCCAGTTAACACAACCCTGTGTGCAAAGCAAGGACTGTCTTTGTAATTGTATGCTCAGGCCTGAGGGAGCAGATAAGATTAGAAGCCTATTTTTGACTACCTAGGGCAGTGGTGATTGGTGAACAATAGTGAATTATAACTCTGTTTCATTCAATAATAGGATCTAATGTGAAACACAAGCCAAGAGAGAGACATCCCTATCCTCCCACCACACCTGCAGTTGCCAAAGCTTCTATTATCATCAAGTTAGAAGTTTAAGTATCATTTTCTGAAACTACCTTCCTCAGGTAACCTTCCACTGAAGCTGTTAGTTGCTGTTTCTTAAAAGCGAACTCCTTGTGCGCTGAACACTGTTTGGTCAGATGATCCACTCGTCTCTGAATGCATCCCATCATGTCATAGACGCCAGTTACTCGAGCACTGAATAAAACAAGCCACTGTTAGTTCACTCTACCACAATATGGAAACCCCTAGAACAAGCAACATTTGAAATTGGAGCTGCTCTTCCGTGTTAGATGTTGCGCTGGTCAACGTTTTAGGATAACAGAAATTAAATAGTTATCCTGGTAGGGCAGAGAGCAGAAACGAATTATATAGCCTTGTTCTAAGTCAGTCATTCCTGAGGGAGAAGATGAGTTACAGTTTTGCAGCCAGGTCTAATCTACTTATCTAAAGAAAGTTTACTTTTTAATATTTCTCTAAGATATTTTGAGAACCTTATGGCAAAAGGCACAGTATGTTTACCAAGAGTTTCCCGAGGGTGTTATTTAAAAGCTTCATTTATCTAAAGATGTTCTTTGAATAGAAATGTGAATCAGCCAATTAACAAAGCATTTACTAAACCAATTGGGTAAAATATTTATCTAACACTGAGGTCCTTTTCTGGTGATTATGAATGCTCAAGGCTGTATTCATTAGATGAAAACCAACAAGGCTTTCACCAACAAATAGGAATCAAATATACGTGTTCATAAAAAAGAAACCAAATCTCACATTATCATTTTTACCTGTGCTGACCTCATGGGGGAAAAAAAATTGACATAAAAGCTTATAAACTCAAAATGTCTTTAAATCAATGAATGGGCTTTGAGTTGGATCCAGTTATTATTAGTCAAAAAATGTCTTAAGTTGGAATATTCACTTCGTAAGCTAAATAATGTGACTGAATGTATAAAAGAACAAGAAATTTAAAAAAAAATGAAAAAAAGTTTCCTAACCAGTTTCAAGTAAGGCAAGCTAGCAAAGCAAGAAAATGAATAAACCCTGTTGATGGAATGAATATGTTTTAACTTTTCAACTCACTCCTAAGACAGAACCTATCCTTTTATTTTTTTAAATTTAATTTAATTTATTTATTTACATTCATTCACTGTACTTAATTACAGCATACAAAATGAGATTTTCCGTCCAGAGTACACTGTATATTGTCTCAACCAAGCACATCAACATACATATTATCATCAACAAATAATGTTTCATTTCCTGTTTCCTGTATATTTTGCTTTTATTCTCATCCTTGATTCCCTATCTTTCACCCTCTGCCATCTCCCCCCCTCTTTCCCCACTGTCTCTGGTATTTATGGTTGCTTTCTATGTCTTCTCCCCCACATTTTATTGATTCACTAAAAATCTTAATTAATCTAAGTATTTTCAATAACAAGTGCAGCTGATATATACATATCCATGAACACAAGTCTGACTTTAGGCATAAACCTCAGTGAGTAGAATGAACATACCATAAAGTAGCACCTAGCTTGGGCTATATAGCTTACTGCAGTCATCAAATAGCTATTTTTAATGCATTTTTTTTTAATTTCAAGAAAAAACATTTTTGTGTTTTTTGAAACTTTTTAAAATTAATTAATTTTCATTAATTCCCTAAGCATTGTCACAACATACAAATTTTATTTCCCATCCAGAATATACTGCATAGTGGCTTAGTCATGCATGTTACTGTCAATAATTTTCCATTTCTAGTTTCTAACACTCTGCCCTCTTCTCACACTATCTCTGGTGTCTACAGGTGTCTTATATTCTTTTTCCTCCCACATTTTATTGATCACACAATTTCTTAAATAATCTAACTACTTTCAAAATCAAGTTCAGCTGATAATTTCAAGAAAAGCAGATTTGAAATGCTAAGGAACTTTGCTTAAAACTTAAAGCCTGGAAACAGGTTAGGATTCTGTTCAAATAGTAGGTACATGAACCTATCGACAGCTCAAGATAGGAAAAAAAACCTTTTTCCTTTTTTTTTTTTTTTGGAGAGATTTTCACTATAGGG